ATTTTTATACCATAGTATAGTATGGAAAGAAGATGAGTTACAAAAGAAATATTCATGTATACTCAAAACCAGAATTTCATCACGTATATTAATCATTTAAAACGACTTTGTGATTGATGTTTCAAGCATTATTATAATTCTAATCAATTCTTGTTTTAGGAATTTTCGTTTTTTCCTTTTTTTATAAGCAGGAAATATAGGGATTCGACCTATTGGCTCAAGTGTTTGTATTCATAAAATCTTTTGTAACATCTTTAACTCTTCCTCGACCGAATTGAGCTTAACAGACGAGTTTTTGTTATTATTATTATTATTATTATTATTATTATTATTATTCCATACTCTTTGTTTGTTTAACTTTCCTAACCCCCTTTCTTCAAGAATACACTTCACTGTCCAATTATTTGAGCACTTGTTATATAATCTATTTATAAAGTCACTAATCTATTTGCTATAATTAAACATAGATTCAAGCCTCTATTATTCTTATCACAACTAGTACACCTGTAATCACACTATCAATTTGTACTTTTAGCTATCATTTTTATTGCACTGTTACGTTCACTGATATCACTGAGTTAAACTGTCATGATCGGTTAAATAATTTTATGTATACATATAAATATTACTGTATATGAGAGTAAAGCCTATTAAGGATTTAACTGAAAACAATATTATTTGCTTACATATGTTGTTCTCATTCACAATATGGAAATTTCTATAACTTTTTAAAAGATCACGTAGTTTTAAGTAGGAATGATTGTTAAACTGTTACTGCTCCCATCGATTTGGTACATACCACAATATGCTAATGTGGTGTAGTTACCTGAAGCGATGCACAAATGCGTCAGATGCTATGTAGCTCTAATAACTGACTTACTGATCACATTTATTGATAGGTCATTACAGTTGCTTTCTGTGGTTTCTCATTTCTAGAACGCGCATTAAAAGCAATTACGTTTCTGAATACGATCAAAAGGTAGGATTTACTGACATTTAACATAAAGACGAAGTGAAATCTTATCAAAAACCCAATAAAAAGTAGATGACAAAGAAAATAAATATCTAACTTCTTACTTTGGACACAATATCATCATCTGAAAGTAAGCTGTCTGTTAAAGATTGCACGTGATCTTGGGATCGTGTAGAACTAACACTTATTGAATTTAAAGCATTCATGATATGCGACACAGTTTTAGTAACAACTGAATTTGGAAAACGCTCTTGCAATCGCGTTTCTAATTCTTCTAAATCTGAAATACGACGATAAACTCTAGTCGGAACTCGACAATTTTCCCGCCAAACATTCATTGGGAAGTAATAATCCTATGAGAACGAAATATAAATTACTATCAAATAAAAATATCAAAAAGAAACGATTTATTTTACAAAATTTATATAAAACAATTCGAAAATTATGTTCAAATATAACTTTATAGTAGTTTTAGATGTAAAGCTTGAGGGTAGGTTTCACAATACATTTACACCAAATCACTAGTTAAAGTGTAATGTGATAGCCAAGAAAACAATGTATGCAACGACTTTCGGTATGTAAGACGAGAAAAATTACACGTGTATATTATAGACCTGGTCATAAATGTCACATTGATATATGAGTTGAACTGGCATACCTTAGTGGCAAAAATGAACTGCAAACATGTTTACTGAAGTCCTGTCATGACAAACAGGTTAGTTTGATAGCAAGACCTAGTGAAGAAGCTTTCAGATTGTAAAACAAAATGGTACCACCGACTGCATCGGAATACAATGGCAGACAGTTGTTTCCCACGAATAATTGGCACCTCCAGTGAAGCTACTATTTTGGAGACAGATATATAGGTTAGAAAAGATTGGCTTTCACCAAACGTCCTCATGGGTTTTCAGCCCCAGTGGTAAGATTTCAAGAAGTAGGGATCCAATATTATAGAGAGAGCTACTCTTAAAGAGTTTTCAACCGTTATTCAGAGTAGCTCTAATGGGTCGAAAATACTTTTGATGATTGGTTAGTTTCTTCAAAAATAAATGTTCAGCAACAGTATGAGTAAAGGAAAAGTGCTAATCCCTTACTCACCTTCACTAATACAAGGGCATGTAAACTGTTTACTTTCATGTTTCCTAGGTTACCTCTATCGTCTTATAAAACAGCGCTGACAAATGATATCCTTGGTCTCTCAATATCTTACCATTAATATTCACATCACACAAAAAAGACTAGGTAATCATGTTTCTCTGAGGCATAAATAAAGTATAATTATTGACCTAACATCAAGAAAGTAAAATACAAAACCAGATCAGTTCATCCGTCATGTATCTGAAGACTATTTAGAGACTTCTCTAAAGCAGTAAACCCAATAAACACAAATGATGTATACAAAACGAATAGATATGCATCATTCACTAGAGGTTCTCGAACTTAGACACAGTATCGTCTAACTGTAGTCTCATTCCACGAACAGATGACTATACATAACTTTATTTATCTATAGATCTTATGACAGTGTTTGTCATAGCAAAGCACACTGCAAAAATATTTAAACCCATTGAAGGTTCTTTATGACGTAAACTACGAGTCACGTTAAAACTTACAGTGAACTGTTATTGGAACTGCCTACGTCAAGTGATATTCGTTTAGTACCTCCGTCTTATTAAATTTTGTCCTACATATCCTTTAAAATAAAGCGTTTCAACCGTCGAACTTTTAAGATATTAACCCATCAATCGAAAAAACTCTAGATAAAATAAAGTAATCAAATGACGTATTTCTTTTTTATCAGACGACGAATGTAAGCTTTCTGAACACAGCATGTAATAATACAAAGATGTTTGGGATGAGTTTCTCTCCATCTGAATGGAAAATATTGCTTCGAAACTCGTCTAAGCCAACGATTCGTTTGATGATTGAAAGAAATATGGTCAGAGGTGTAGACCATCTCAATTATCTGCAACTGACAACATTTATCCACGGATACATAAAGCCTACTAGACTTTAATGAACTCAGGGGTAATATTCAACAAAGGGTGAGTATACCTTGTAGTAGGTTGCTCTCTATTGTTTGAAAGCTATGAAATATTACTTACTCTTACTTACTCCTGTTACTCCTCGTGAAGGAGCATAGGCCGCTCACCAGCATTCTCCATCCAACCCTGTCCTGCGCAATCCTTTCAAGCTCTTTCCAGTTCTTATTCATCTTTTTCATATCTGCTTCTATTTCCCGACGTAATGTGTTGTTTGGCCTTCCTCTTTTCCGCTTCCCTTCAGGATTCCAAGTTAGCGCTTGTCTCATAATGCAGTTTGATGATTTCCTCAATGTATGTCCTATCCATTTCCATCGTCTTTTCCTAATTTCCTCTTCAGCTGGAAGCTGGTTGGTTCTCTCCCACAAAAGGCTGTTGCTGATGGTATCCGGCCAATGGATGTTGAGTATCATGCGTAGACAGCTATTGATAAATACCTGTACCTTCTTGATGGTGGTTGTTGTAGTTCTCCAAGTTTCAGCTCCGTACAGTAGAACTGCCTTGACGTTGGTATTGAAGATTCTGAGTTTGATATTGGTTGAAAGTTGTTTTGAGTTCCATATGTTCTTCAGTTGAAGGAATGCCGCTCTAGCTTTGCCAATCCTCGCCTTGACGTCTGCATCTGAACCTCCTTGTTTATCGACGATGCTTCCCAGGTATGTGAAGGATTCCACGTCTTCCAGAGTTTCGCCATCAAGAGTGATTGGATTGCTGTTCTCCGTGTTGTATTTCAGGACCTTGGTTTTCCCCTTGTGTATGTTGAGGCCTACTGATGCAGAGACTGCTGCTATGCTGGCTGTCTTTATCTGCATTTGTTCGTGTGTATGTGATAGGAGGGCTAGGTCGTCTGCGAAGTCCAAGTCGTCTAATTGGTTCTGAGCTATCCATCGTATGCCGTAGTTTCTCTCAGATGTCGAGGTCTTCATAATCCAGTCGACCACCAGAAGAAACAGGAAGGGAGAGAGTAGACAGCCTTGTCTTACTCCGGTCCTTACTTGGAATGCCTCTGTCAGCTGTCCTCCATGCACTACTTTGCACTGTAGTCCATCGTATGAGTTCCGGATAATGTTGACAATCTTCTCAGGAACTCCGTAGTGTCTAAGAAGTTTCCATAACGTCCTCCTATCTACACTGTCAAATGCCTTCTCATAATCAATGAAGTTGATGTAGAGTGACGAGTTCCACTCAATTGATTGTTCGACGATGATCCGTAGTGTCGCAATCTGGTCTGTGCACGACCGGTCCTTACGGAATCCAGCTTGTTGATCTCGAAGTTGAGCGTCTACTGCGTCTTTCATCCTGTTCAGTAACACTCTGTTGAAGACTTTACCCGGTATTGACAGTAGTGTAATGCCTCTGTAGTTTTCACACTTGCCCAGATCTCCTTTCTTTGGAATCTTGATGAGGTGTCCTTCTTTCCAATCCATCGGCACTTGTTCCTCCTCCCAAATCTTCTTGAATAGAAGATGAAGCATGCTTGTAGTTACTTCGATGTCTGACTTCAACGCTTCAGCTGGTATATTGTCAGGTCCTGCTGCTTTCCCGCTCTTGATTTGTCTGATGGCCATTCTGATTTCTTCTGTCGTTGGTGGATTGACATCTATAGGAAGATCTGTGTGTGCTGCTTCGATGTCCGGTGGATTCATTGGAGCCGGCCTGTCCAGGAGTTCCTCGAAGTACTCTGCCCATCTGTTGCGCTGTTGTTGAATCTCATTGATTGATCTTCCTTCTTTGTCTTTGACTGGTCTCTCTGGTTTACTGTATTTCCCTGCAAGCTTCTTCGTCGTATCGTAAAGCTGTCTCATATTTCCTTCTCTTGCAGCTTTTTCCGCCGTCGTTGCTAGTTCTTCCACGTATTTTTGCTTATCAGCTCTAATGCTCTTCTTCACTTTCTTGTTTGCTTCTATGTACTCTGCTTGTGCTTGGACTTTCTCTGCTCTTGTTCGACTGTTGTTAATTGCTGTCTTCTTGTTCTTTCTTTCTTTGATCCTGTCCAGTGTTTCTGTAGAGATCCATTCCTTGTGATGATGTTTCTTGGGGCCCAGAACCTCTTGACACGTTGAAGTTAATGTTTCTTTGATACCTTTCCAGCTATCCTCCATAGTAGTTTCTTCTTCCTTCAGTAGATCCTGTAAGGCTTGGAACCTGTTGTTGAGAGCTACCTTGAATTCATTGAGTTTGTCAGTATCTCGAAGGAAGGCTGTATTGAACCTTTGTGGTGCTGTTTGTCCAGTTGTCCAGTTCTTCTTTAGCTACAGTTACAATTTGGCCACAACTAGGTGATGATCTGAAGCTATGTCCGCTCCTCTCCTGGTTTTCACATCTTCCATTGTCCTTCGGAACTTTTTATTGATGCAAATGTGATCTATCTGGTTCTCTGTGGTGTGGTCCGGTGAGATCCACGTAGCTTTGTGTATACGTTTGTGTGGAAATGTTGTACCGCCTATGACCAATTTATTGAATGCACACAGATTTGCAAATCTTTCCCCGTTTTCGTTTCTCTCTCCCAGTCCATGCAGTCCCATGATGTCTTCATATCCGGTGTTGTCCGTTCCGACTTTGGCGTTTAGATCTCCCATCAGAATGGTGAGGTCCTTTCTTGGGCACTTCTCTATGATTGATTGCAGCCTCTCATAGAATTGATCCTTAACGTCGTCGTTGCTATCATTGGTAGGTGCATAACATTGGATAATGTTCATTGTGATCCCCTCCTTCTTTGTTTTGAATGATGCTTTGATGATTCTGGATCCGTGAGATTCCCATCCTACAAGTGCATTTCGTGCTTCTTTGGATAGCATTAGAGCAACTCCCTGAGTGTGTGGAGCATTTTCCTCTTCGTGACCAGAGTATAGCAGCATCTCTCCCGTATTTAGCCTTTGTTGTCCAGCTTGGGTCCAATGGGTTTCACTGATTCCCAGTACTGCCAAGTTGTATCTCCTCATTTCCGTTGCTATTTGACTGGTCTTCCCGGTCTCCCACATTGTCCGGACGTTCCATGTACCTATAAAAATTGTTGCTCTGGTTGTTAGAAGGGGCATCGGCCTCGTGGCTTCCGAAGGAACTCGGCTTTCACCATGAAGCGTCATATTACCTCTAACTCCCAGGGCAGGGTTTAAATGGTTTGAGTTATTTTTTCTGGTTAGCGTTTTTTTAGCGAGTTAGGTTTCTACGGGATGGGGACGCTAACCCCATGCCCAACCCTCCTCCTTTACCCGGGCTTGGGACCGGCAGTAACTCTGGAAGAGCTACAGGCGGAGTTCTATGAAATATGATCAAAGTAATCAGGGGAAACATGAGAAGGGTGTGGTTATTCTGATCATGGGAATTTTACAAGAAATGGTTAAGTATGATGATGCCACCAGGTTATTAATATCGAACTTAGGTGTAGAGGTTTAGGTTAAAGAAGTACATAAAATATTGAATGACGTGGTTCAAAGATAAATCGTCTAGCCCTATTGGCCGTTGGTTCTGACTTTCTACGCTAGCATAAAACTTGGTTGGAAAAACGTTAGGAGCCGCAAACTGAAAACATGTCATTGGTTGGTGCAGTCGGTGGTCACCGGTCTGAGCTGTGTAGAAAAATATGGGCTTCTATTTAAATTCAGAACGATAATTATGATCTCGGTTTGGAAACATTAGGCAACATGGCACAGTGAAACGGTCCTGTTTTACTTTTCTCTCTTCCTTTGAATATTGCCCTTGATTCTAATCCACATTACTCACGCTTTAGTTCAAATAGTTCTTGTTAAACTTTTTTAAAATTTTGGTTTCTCACAGAAATTCATATTACTGGTTATCGTTCACCGTTTCATACCTCCATCCTGGACCGAAACATATTCATGTCAGGTTCTACGTTGTGATTATGGAACAGATTATAGAACGAAAACGAAATATGGAAGAAAAACAAACTCATCAATAGCTCTCTCACTTATTTCTTCATACTTAATCGAACTCACGGAATGTTTATCATCGGTTTTCTTTTTCACCGCAATTTCCACCACAATCGCATCAATAGTTCCATCTGAATCATTTCTGTCAATATGATATTGATAGTTTTATTATTGAATATGAGGTATAAACAAACAGACAAATACAAATATGGAAAAAGAAACGATGAAAATGAAAAGAAGTCAGGAATCAAGTACAATGATATTATAAAATGCAAATAAAATCTGATAATTTGAAATAAATCAGCAGTTATTTGATTGGGCCAATTTATTTTAATAAAATTATATTATTATTTGGTTCTCGTCAGCTGCTCACAACTTGTGGTATTCAAAAATCATAAATCCAATCTCCCAAGGTTATTAGTAAATATTCAAACTCCAGCCTCCTGAAGCTGTTGTTATCAGGCGATAAGATCTTGATTTATGTGTTCATAAGAAGTTGGTTGTTATTCTATTTTTCCTTGGTGACAAATATTACTTTGTTGCATCATAAAACTTTGTTTAACTCTTTCTTTCAATTAACCACATCATTACGTATTTCCATTCCAACTGTCTTTTAGGTTAGCAATCTTGCTTTAATTTACAGAGCCTTACTCATTTTATTATTACTTATTATTAGCGTTTACTCAATACCTAAAAACTTGTTTCCAGCCCATTGAACTTTTGTTACTACCAATGTTATGGAATATCATTTTGCGTAAGATATGTATTTACAATATTTTATTCAGTCTATTAAATTTATGTACACCCTTGCTAAACTATACTGATGTGCGATCATGGTAACTTCCAACTAAACTCTTTAATTAAATTAATTTAAACCCGATTCGTAATTATGACTTTTATATATAACATGTTGTAAGCAGTTGACAAGGACCAAATGAAATCAAATGAACTCATGCTATTCTGCTCAAATGATTCCTCTAGCTCTCATCAAACTGATAAAGAGAACTACTATGTATGTGAAATAAAATTATTATTTATATAAACTAATGACTAATAGTGCGTTTGATCTGTTTATTTATATGGGGAGTCGAATAGATTTTTTTTTATTACCTTAAGAACCAAGTACTTTTACTAATATTTCTAATTCGAGAGTATATTTTTAAAAACTCATAATTGGAAGCGTTATCCAACTGATTTTCTAAAGAACAACTATGTATTGTTAAGTCCGTATAGAAATACTACTTGTATCTATTAAATACTTTAAGTTTGATGAACGTTATTCATCGAAATACAAGACTGCTACTTTTCAGCCAAAATACTAATTGGTCAGTGGTGTCTTATTCTTATATTCTATTAATAATAGTGAGAAGGGAAGATATTATAGTGAGAAGTGTTCTTATTGTCCAAGTGACAAGAGTTCATGTTATTAAAAAAATATCTAAAAATTCAAATACCATAAAGAAAAAAGCAATTCATTCTCATCTTTCTATATTGCAATTGCAAAGTATGGTAGGAAATCTGATTCATACTACTCACTACTTTTCAAAATTTTTCCTTACGAAATATCAATGAAATTCAACTACTCTGGTGTTTACATAATTATTCAATTATCATAATAATAATTAATTCATGTTTCTGAAAATAAAAAAAAGTGAACTTCAATTGTTTTTTTAAAAAACAAATATTCCGTATAATCATCTTTAGATAATAATAATGATTATAAGATTAGCTACTGATAAGGTTAAATATTTGATCCAATAAAGTGCAAAATACACTTTAAAATTGTTAGTTTAACAAACATTAAAAGGCACTGAATAATTTAATGTCTCTTTTTTTATTGCTCTTACAATAATTCAGCGAAAGATGTATTACAGATGAACTAAATGACGATATATGCACATATTTTAAAAATATTCATAAATATTTGAATACTTCAGAAAATGTTTTACAATCTGTAAACTCAGTTCGAGTAGACAATCATCAAAAATTAACTGTTTCGTTTTAGTATATGATTTCTCCGAGACGTGGGTAAACGATAGTACGATAACTTCATATCACCAAGTTTACATTCAATCGTTGGGCGAATAAACGATATTAGGATAAGAAAGCGTGAATGTCGTAGGGTTCGATCTTTGATTTTGTATATATATATATATATATATATATATATATATATATATATATATATAAGCTAATCAGTATAAACTGTTTACAGATCATATAATCATTCCTTTTCTTGTGAAATTCGAGAACAAAAACACACTGATTAAAATCTTTTTACTTGTTCATCATGAACAAAAATTCCATATGCTTCAAGGGGAATAAAAATGATACATAATAAAGATATATAGCAATAGAAACGTAAATAACAACACTCAAATTGACTTGTTTTTGTCAGTATACATAAATTAGGAAAATCTGATAATATGTGAAGTTTATTAGATCAATTACAGTTAGAAAATCTTTAATTTAACATGCTGAAAGACTTGATCACATTCTTTTAAAAATTGCTAACAAATTATTTATATATTACAAAAAGAAGTAAATCAACTAGTCATTTCCTAAAATAGTTGTATAATGTAAAAATATAAAGCTTGAGAATCAAGTTTCAATTTTATCAGAATATCAAGAGCATTCAAAACATGTAGCCTGAATTAATTTATGATTAAAATGGAATCTAGTCACTATAGTCTTCCATTTATTATTCTATATAAAAACTTTTTTTTCTGTAGATGTATCCACCAGGATAAATAGAAGCGAAGTAGATTAAATGTGTATAAGTTGTAAACTAGTGTCCATCATTATTCCTGCTTAAATAAAAACGTCAAAATATGTTTCTTCTTAGATGTAGCATTTATAAAATATTTTCTACGTACCTCAACATGAAATATTTTTTCCCTAATAAATCATTCCCCACTTAGGAACGTTTATTTGCTCGTCGATCATAACTCTACCTAAAACTTATTTAATTGCAAATAAAAAAATTGACTGAATTCGAAGAAAAACGGTGAGTGGAAATATTATTCAACATCTCTCTTCAAATTGAGAATCTGTCACAAACTACCACAGCAAAATAGTAACAAACTGAAGTCCTATTTCATTATTCGTGTGTTATACCAGATCATTATGTCAATAACAAGCACACAACTTTAAGCCCATCACCACATTAATCATCTAGCCGAAATGTTCTGATTTAAATTTAAATGAATATAAAGTAGATAAAATGAATGATCACTTCATAGTTAAATGTACTGTTCTAAATTGTTTTGTTTAGCAGAATAATGACTCGCTGTATTGCACTATACGTTTTTAACGATTGCCAATATATACATGAAATAAAAAAGAATACACTATCTTAGGTTTTCTCAAAAATAAACTATGCTTATCAAATCACTCATAAGGAGTTATACACAAGTAAAACCATAGCAACGTAAAATGAAAGGTACCAAAAGTAGTAAACGTCAGTATTTAGGCGACAAACTATGTCTGGTCAAAATATATGATAAGAATTTGATGAGGAAATGTTACTCTTCAAATACGTTCTTTTTTCGTGGAGAAAAAAGAAGACTTTAGACGAGTTTTAAGAAAGATTAAAGAAATTATTCATTGAGCCAAAGCATACTGAGTTATTCTTGACATCCATTTGAATTGCTGAGAAAAATATATCAATGGCATAAAAAAAATGTTGAAGAACAACAAACACCTAAAGATATAATTCAAAGCCTAGCTATTGAGGATGCCTGAAAAGGTTCCAGAAAGAAATCCCTCTTTATTTTGTCATTACAAGAAAAAAGAACAGTTCGATGTTATATTATATATCCCAGTAGACTAATCCAAGGATACTCACTCAAAAATGTACAAGTTTACTTTATGAAAACACAGGTTTGGTTTTGAAATGCTTTATTTCTATTGAGATTTAATTTAGTCTTTTTTGATAAAATTTGAGATTTGGAAAAGAAACAACGATCTAACTCTGTTAGGTGAACAAGACAGAATATGAAACGTATTTCCGATCCAATGAATATTGGTTTCTTTTCTAATAACCAACAACATGGTTTTACAATTTTAAAGAGAGATGACTCTAGAAAACTTTCTTCAAATGTCTTTTTTCACAAATGATTGAAAGCTTTAAGTATTAGATCATTCACTGAAATGAATCTTCAGTGTAGATTGTTTCAAATGAACTAATACGTAGAAATGGAGGAAACATTTGAAATTGTACAAATAAGTGCGTTTTACCATATTCAAAACAAAGCAACATTGAAACATCGGCTTATTTAATGTTTTCACTAACTAATCCCAGAGTTTTTGATTATGACCAATAAAAATTCAAGAAAGCAATCATCGTTGTTTTAAACTTATTGAGCTAG